TGCACCATATAGCAAGTCTTTGCGTAGTTTGTTTTTAGGCGAGTATTATGATGCGACCAGACGTTTCGGTTACAAAAAGATGTGAAACGTTATGTAAGGACTTGTCAAGTCTGTCAACAGGATGAGCCGAGAACTCAAGCACAGCTTGGGTTGATCAAGCCCTTGCCTATTCCCGCTGGTCCCGGATAGAGTGTGTCCATGGACTTCATGAATACCCTCGGGACCAGTAAAAGTGTCAAGAGACATATTTTTGTCATGGTGGACTGGTTCATAAAGTACGGTAGATTAGTCGCCATGCCCGAGACCACAAAGCCTGAGCGTGCCATCGAGTTGTTTATGGACAATTGGGCACGTGGCGACGGACTGACCAAGACAGTTGTTAGTGATAGAGATGTCGGTTTCACCAGTGAAATGTGGAAGAAAGCTGTTGAACAGCTGGGCATCCCACTCCAAATGACTTAAGGGAATCATCTCGAAGGTAATGGCCAAGGGGAGCAGATGAACCGTGTGTTACAGCACCTGCTCATGCACTATATCAAGCCGAGCCAGGGAGAACTGGGATGAGAAGCTTCCTCTTGTCGCCGGCGTGTACAACAATGCCGTTCATAGCACAACCGGCATCTCTCCAAATGAGCTGCACTTGGGCTAGAAGCCTAGATCTGTGTCAGATTTTCTTCTTCCTGAAAACCTGCTGCGACACCTGGAACCATTGAATTTGGTGTCCAGTATGGAGTTACTGCTGCAGGCTGTCAAGCACATCAGGAAAGCTCAAGATGCCATGATAGCATCTGAGAACAAACACCGGCGACAGTTCACATTGCAGGTAGGAGAGCGATTCAAGAAAGGAAATCGGCATCTCTGGAAAAATAATGCCTCAGTACTTTGATCCTTGGGAAGTCCTAGATATTGTGGGTAGTGATCCGGATGGTCCCTCCTATGTAATTCAAATCCCTGGTCACCTACACACATACCCTGTGTTTCACGCTTCAAAGCTTGCACCTTTCGCTGTGAGAGATCAGTTCCCATAAAGGAGATCAATTCTGCCCCCAACTATGGACGCCATCCATGACATAGATGATCTTCGAGACTTGCCTGTTCCAAACCCAGCTGTCAAAGGACGACCGCCGAAACCTGCAAGGGAACACCGGGGTCAGATTCAGGCATCACACAGGTCCAAACGAAGATTGTTGGTTCACGAAGGAGGAGCTGACAAAGACAGCACCTCAGGTTGCAGCCGATTATGAACAGAAACTCAAGGGGAAAGCTCTAGCGTAGAAGCATCTCAGCGGACTTTTGAAGCTAAGAAGGAGGGGAATGCAAGGATTGAGCCTCTCGCACGGCCATTCGGCCTCAGCAACCAACACCAGTGGGACCCCTAGCAAGCATCTGCCTAAGCAAAGGCGGTCCCTTTTTTTTTTTTTTTTTTTTTTTTT